CAGCAGCCGTCCTGTCACCAAGGAAACCACATGTCAGGGCAGAAAGTGATGGAAAGGGCCCCCAGGAACCAGCCTGAAACCCAGTCATCTGACATGTTTGTCATTATCAGCTCTGCCACAGTGCAGCATCTCTTGCAAGAACGTTTCTCTGAAACTTCTCCTGCCTCAATCCATCTCCTGTTTCTCGAGCTGAGAATACGCCCACCTCTGAGAAAGTCATGTGCAGTCAGGCATGACTGACAGCAAAGACAGTCACTTGCTTCCTCGGCAATAGAAAAGGCAGACAGTCTGCAGCACCGACCCCAGCACTGGTGTCTTTGGGAGGCTCTCACCTACTTGCCCAGGCTCCAGCGACTTCTGGTCATCTAGGCCCCTGACTGGTGGTTTTCAAGTCTGCCCATCCTTCCCAGGCAGCAGTACCAGGAAAGCAGCCTCTGTAACTCCTCCTTCCTCTATTCGAATTGATGTTTGATGTCGCCACCCTGCAAATGATTAAACAAACCTCTCTCTCTTATTAAAGACTGATAACTTCAAACATGACAAGAGGATTCATTCATGTTTCAATCACACCATAAATATTCATTGAGCACCTCCTGTGTGTTAGGCCCTAAGCTGAGCATTGAGGTTAATAATAATAATTAATCATTTATTAGTTGTGGGTGGAGCCAATGGACACTTAGGATGGTCAGAGAGAGTTCTAGAGAAGGGATGTATCAGCTGTGTTCTAGGTATCTATTGTTATGTAACAACTCCCCCCAAAACTTAGTGACTTTAAACAATGACCACAGAAATGACAGCTTAAAACAATGACAGCAATGATTTAAATTACGTCCTCCCCATTAGAAGCCATGCATCTCCATTTCCCCTGAATCACCAGTGCCTGACATGGTGCCTCTCACATGGCAAGCACTCAGGAAGTATTTGTTGAATGAATAAATGATTAGTAAATTTGTCAATCAATGAGATGTTCTTGTTAGCCACATTTTATAGTGGGGAAAATGGACAGCTATCAAAGATGCTTAATACTCACAACCCAGAGACAAAAATGGCATTTCATTAAGCAAAATTAATTGAAAGTGGACCAGGATCAAATAACATCTTCAGGGATCAACGACATTAGATGTGGCTTTAGCTGGTTACTGTAAAGGGTCATTTGCCCTGACTTCACTCTAGTTTCTCCTCCCAATCAGGATCAGAGATTTGCCAATCCACATGTGGTTCTCTCCCTATAAATCAATGCTCTCAGAGTCAGCAGACACAAAGCTTAAAGGAATTTCATTGCCAAAGATAATGGAGGATATTAGAGGATGAGTATTTGGCTGTTCCCCAAGAGGCCTCACAGGGTGGCATGCCCTCTCCCATGGGCCTGCACTTCACGCTGCAAGTTTAGAAGCTGGATCTGTCAGCATACTGGTGTTCTGTCTCTTTGCTTTAACCCTAATTAATTGAGCTCAGAGAGCTGATGTATGAAGCCAGAATGTCTATTGATTCATAAGAGGACTGGAACCACCTCTGTGTCTACAGTACCTGTTTCCACATGGCTGCCACATTCTTTCACTGAAGACAGACTCCAAGGAAGGCAAATTATCAGAAGGTTGTTTAGAAAACATGGAATCCAAACAAGGGGAGCAAGTTAGATGATTCAAATGTTGATTGGCATTAAGCTGGGAAAGCTTGACACTGACATTTTGATTGTAGTAACAGCCATGCCAGTGGCACCAGAATATCACAGCTGTTGGCTGATGGGCCACCTCCAGCAGATATTTCTTAAATATGCTCTGCTGATACCATCATCATCTCCTTTATCTATGCTTTCATGGTCAACCAGCCCTGATTGATTTGCCCTTTTAATCCCTTTGCTAAGCTTTCAGACTTATTCTGTTTCCTTAAGATGACTTCGTTTATTTGTTCTGATCTGTTTTCTGTAGTTGCAGAGCTTAATTCTCAGAGGATAACTTGTTTTCTTAAAAGTATAATACTTGAGGGAGGTCTCCCCAAATTCCTCAGTCACAAAATGGGTTATATACTATTCTTATAGTCTTATCTTTACTCAGGAAAGATATTTGAGGGCACCTATCAGAGACCCGTTGTCCCATCTTTATACTATGCCAAAATACTTACTTTCTCCATTTGTAGATGATCTTCACCTTAATTACCACTTATTGATTTTTTAATTGGCTTATTAATTCTTCCTGAGGCACGAGATTACATAAGGGTGGTGCAAAATGGCCATAAGGACATTACGATACAGAGTGCTTTTCTTTCCATAACGGTAAAGCCCTGGTCAAAATGGTAGTCATCTTTAAGTTACACAAAACCACTCAAAATGGTCTCGGTTGAACATCTGGATGTTTTTCAGGCAACAAAAGGTTATTATGCTGCTTGATGGTTTTAAATGGCTTCAAAGTCACCACCCCCTTTTATAATACTTTTCAGCTCTGAACATCCTTCTATTGAAATCTTACCAACTGTCCAGAATCTGGGTATGGATCCTGAAGCTCTCTCTGACCTTCTCCTTCAGCCATCTTGCCCTTTTCTGGATCTTTACAGGGTTCATACTTTGCAGTGCAGACTGCGCTGCCTTGGCTTATCCTCCGATTGTTCCCTGTGTGCTATTAGGTTGTGCAGATTGGAAAACCTGAAATGTAGGATCATTTTTCCTCTCCTCTCCCATGCCATTTGGCTTGTCTGGAGCAAACAGCCAGTGGTACCTCAGTGTGTCAACTTGACCTAACAGAGGTCCTGGGAGGTGCTGCAGTCAGAGCGGCTGAAGACCACAGAGCTACTCTGAGGACGTTTGTTGAAAGGGAGAATTTTAAGCAATGTTTTGAAGGCTTGAGAAAGGAGTCTGCTCCCCAGGGGATTCATATTTTTCTTTAAACCATGTTTTGCTAAAATGGGTAGATGTGGCAGCTGGTCACGAAACTGTTCTTCAAAAGCTCAAAGACATGGAAACCATAGAATGTTAGAACTGAGAAATCTGTTTCTAACTTGTATTTATTCCATAAACAATGATTTCCTGCTATGTGCAAGGCACCATACATATGTGCAAGTTCTTGGAGACAGACAGGACTTATGGAGCCCTTGCTTTCAAGGAGTGTGTGGTTTCTTACAGAGGTCAGAAAGAGGTGGCTCATGGGCTCCAAGAGACCATTTAAAAATGAGAAGTTTTAGAAAACTGTTAGATCCAGTAATCTGATTTTGCATTCCCTACTGCTGCTTCATCGTTTACATCAGAGGTAGGCAAACTTTCAGTAAAGGCTGGTTAGTAACAATTTTAAACTTTTTGTTCCATTTGGTCTCTGTCAAAAGTATTCAACTCTGCCTTTGCAGCATGAAAAAGACATAAACAAATGGGTGTGGTTGTTGTTCCAGTAACAATTCATATACAAAAAACGGCAGCAGGCTGGACTTGGCACCCTGACCGTAGTTTCCCAGCCTCTGATATGTATTGTTAGGTTGGCCCAGGAAGGCACGTGGGTCCTTAATCTCCAGTCTAGTGGAAACAAACCTTACAGATGCAGGCTGCAAGTTTAGTATAGCTGTGAGAAGGTCCTGAAGGAGCTTGGGAGGGAGCTTTTAAATCTACTGGAAGATTAGATGTTTCAGGGAAGGAGGTAAAGCCTCAGCTACTTCTATTTCACAGAATAGGACATTAGGGTCCAGAAACATGAAATGATGTCCTAAGGCTTTGGGGGACCGAGTTGAGAAGCTAGATTAAAGACCAGCTTGGCAGATCCCCAGAGCACTACTTTTACCATCACTTGCCATCCCAGCCTTCCTTATGTGGCCTCAAATACCTCCAGCAGATTTGCCCTAGAACTTCCTATCCCGTCCTCAAACACAACCACCCATTTTTTCATCTCCCAGGTGAGTCTTTTTTGCAATTTTTGAAATAAGAATCCTATGATTTTTGGAATGTTTAGAGTAGTTATTTCTGGATGGCTGGTTATATAGTTTTGCTAAAAGTAACAATCAGACCAGTAACTGAAGGGACTTGATTTTATTCATTAAAGATTTCCAAAAATAACTCATTCTGTCACAAAGCTCATAACGGTCACAGGAAGCTATTTTCCAACTTAATTAACGCCCCCCCCCCCCGAGAAATCTGTCCCAACAGGACAGTTGTCCGTCTGTGGGGAGCAGAGGAAAAGGCTTTGGGCAGGTCTTTCCCCTCCCTTCTCTCCTCAGATCTCAGCTAGTCACGGCTTCAGCCTCTGGCTTGTAGCTCTAGTCCCAGACTCTCTTCTAAACTCTGGGACTTTCTGTCTACTTCCTAGGTGCTCCGTTGCCTCATAAGCACATCAAGTTCAACCCGATAACTTTCCTACTACTGAGACCGTAGTCTCCTAATCAGACACTTGAGAGTCCTCCAGATGCTCACTTTCTCTCCTTCCCACAGCCAGTCATAACCTTGGTCACCCCAACCATGTCATGTATCTTTTCCTACCCTCCTTTGTCTAGAGTGAGAGCCTCATTACTTGGGCAACTGTACTCACCTCCCAGTTGGATTCCCCGTTTCTCAACCTTGCCTGTTGCCTATATGCTATAGAGATCTTCCTAAAATGCAATTTTAATCACGTCTTTCCCAAGCTCAAAATCCTTCAGCCACTCCCGGTAGCCTTCATGATTAAGTCCTTACTCTCGGCCTGACGTTCAAAGCCTGCATTAATCTGATTAAGGACTCACTTTCTTACTCCAGAAGTGGAGTGGAAGCAGGTTTTCTCCAGATTCCTAAGACACGGGACAGCGCAGGAATGCTGTCACGCTGCCTCAGCGTTAAGAGAGATGTTAGCGGAAGGACAGCGGGGGCAGGCCTGAGGGAAATGCAAGTCGGGAGGGGCCAGGTAGGCAAGGTAGAGCCGCCAAGCCCTGCGCCGGGCCCCCGCCTGCGAAGACCCCCAGGACCGTCCCCCTGCTCCCGCCCCTGCTTCCGCCCCGCCGCGTGAGGGGCGGAGCCGCGCACCCGCGGGGGTGTGGCCCACAATGCGCGCGGAGAGGGGCCGGCGCCACATGCGCACGCATTCGGCGGCCGCGCGCAGCACGCTCGGCGCGCGGATGGCGGCGGCGGTGGCTGGGAGCGGGACGCCCCGGGAGGAGGAGGGGCCCAGTGGGGAGGCAGCGGCTCCGCAGCCCCAAGCCCCGACTGGTGCGCCCGGGCCTCGTCTCTCGAGGCTGCCTCTGGCGCGAGTGAAGGCCTTGGTGAAGGCAGACCCCGACGTAACCCTCGCGGGACAGGAAGCCATCTTCATTCTTGCACGAGCCGCGGTGCGGCGGGAGAACCAGGGCCGCACGCGAGGGGTGGGGCGGGGCGGGGCGGGGCCTCGGGCCTTGTGCCGGATGCGGGGGGAGAGGAAGAAGAGGGTGTGGGTGGGAGCAGGGGTGGGAGTGTAGGAGGGGAAGACTGAGGAAAGGGGGCACATACTAGTGTAATTGTATTGGCTTGTGAACACTCTTGCCTATTGATGAGGGCCGGACAAAGACTTTAATTTGCATCTCCAGTGTCCAACGCAAGTTGTAGGAATTTCAAGTGCATGAGTTGGGTGGATTTATAAGTGATGGGGTAGGAACGTGTCATGGGCTACTGGGGAACGTGGAAGGGGAACAGACCTTCATGTTCAGCTTAGCCGGGAACCTCCCCATGCACCTGAACGGCCCTCAGCCCTCTCACAAACTGGAGTGCCCACAAGAATTGTGCTAGAGCCCATTGATAAAACTGCCCTTGTTTTTTTTTTTCCCACAGGAGTTGTTTGTGGAGACCATAGCTAAAGATGCTTACTGCTGTGCTCAACAAGGAAAGAGGAAAACCCTCCAGAGGAGAGATTTGGGTTGAGTGTCACTCTTGTATCTGGTTTCTTGGGGCGGACAAGGGAGGGCTGGGGGAGGCTTCCCCTTTGATTGGTGGAGAAGGCATCCCTGTAAGGTAAGAGGGGGCCGCAGATTCTCTCGCTATGATGTTTTCTGTTGGACTGCCACAGTACCAGAAAGCCCTACCTTTCAGTCTCTGTGCTTTGGGTGAAGAGGTGGTGGGGTAGAGAATGAAAGGAATCTAGGTGTTGCCAAAGCTGACTAGACCCCTTTATATCTTACGTCCTATTGTACCAGGCTGGAACTTTCTGTCCTAGAAACGGGGGGTTTGATTTCGGACTCCTCTTTCTAGCTGGTAACCCTCACACGCTATCTCGCTCTATTGCCACTCTTCTCTGGTAACATTCAGAACAGAGAGGTTCCCCCCACTGAGCAGTGTTTAGCCAGGCTTTTCTTACTCTTGCAGAGAGACAGCTGATAGGTAAGATGGGGTGGTGGAGTAGAAATGGATCTCACCCTCATTTTATGAACACCCTCATTTGCATAAAGCTTCATTCCCCTCACTGTGTAAGTTGTACTTTTTTTTTTAAGAGGCTGAGGTCCAAATGACCAGAGTTGGTCAGGTGTCCCTTTATTTTGTGTTTCAGATAATGCAATAGAAGCTGTGGATGAATTTGCTTTTCTGGAAGGTGAGTTCTCTTATCAATGGGTAATTTATTCCATCTGCCTTCACCTTGCTAATGATCTGAGTTCAAAACTTTAAAATTGATGCCTGCTGCTGCACTGTGTAGGGATAATTCTTCCTCCCTACTTCCTGTTCAGATAGGAAAAACTAACTTGCTAAATCTGGTGAGATTTCACAATTCTAATTGTAATTCCCTTAGGTAATTAAAATTTCTTTTGGAAAATTGCTAACCATAAAAAATGGGATGGGTTATAAAGTCCCCAGTGGAATCAGGTGAATTTAGAAGTTTGATTTCCACTTTGATCTCCATTCTTAGATATAAATCTTCTCTCTTGTCATTAATGCCAGAGATCAGAAACAACTGCCAACATTTAAAGGGTTACCTCTAGTTACTTTTTCATCTTCAGCAGTCTGTGTAAAGTATTTTGCTGTAGTGAGATTCTCTACTTGCCTGTATCTATTTGTTCTTAGGAATTTGGGATTAACTCGTGGCCTAACTAAATCTTGTCATTTCAATAGAAAATACTTTAAATAGCTTATTTTAGCTACTTTGTCTCAGAGCTGGTTTTCCAACTAAATTCCTAAATCTAATCAGCTTACTCTTCTCTACATGTTCCAATCGAATAGTTTTGCAAGACATATGCCTTCAGCTCATTTTCACCTTTACCACACCAGGATGGTTTCATTATCTCCCTCAAGCCTCATTACCTTCAGAAATCTTTTCTTGTATTTTTTTCACTATTTTTACTCCTTTGTTCTGCAATTTTGATCAACTTAGACCTCTGGCCCTTTTGCTACAGTCTTTTAAATGTCTTTTTAGATACAGTTCCATAGCCAATTTCAAGCCCAAGTTATTCAATATTCTCTAAATGTGTAGATTTTAAGCCACTTCTTCTGCTAACTCATATTTCTTAAAAATAATGTGCTGCCTCTTGTGGCTGACCGTTGGTTTTCCAATCAAAAGTGTTTGAGTGTTTGGAATTTGATTAAAAATAAAAAATATCATTGATTAAAAAAATTTTTTTATTTTGTTATCATTAATATAAAATCACATGAGCAACATTTTGGTTACTAGATTCCCCCCATTATCAACTCCCCACCACATACCCCATTACACTCACTACCCATCAGCGTAGTAAGATGCTATAGAGTCAGTACTTGTCTTCTCTCTGCTATACTGCCTTCCCCGTGCCCCCACCCCCCCCGCCATGTTATGTGTGCTAATCATAATGCCCCTTATTCCTCTTCTCCCTCCCTTCCCACCCATCCTCCCCAGTCTCTTTCCCTTTGGTAACTGTTAGTCCATTCTTGGGTCTGTGAGTCTGCTGCTGTTTTGTTCCTTCAGTTTTTGCTTTGCTCTTTCTTATGCTCCACAGGTGAGTGAAATCATTTGGTACTTGCCTTTCTCTGCCTGGCTTATTTCACTAAGCATAATACCCTCTAGGTCTGTCCAAGTTGTTGCAAATGGTGGGATTTGTTTTCTTATGGCTGAATAATATTCCATTGTATATATTACTACATCATCTTTATCCATTCATCTGCTGATGGACACTTAGGTTGCTTCCATTTGTTGGCTATTGTAAGTAGTGCTGTGATAGACAGGGGTGTGTATGTCTTTTGAAACTGGGATCCTACATTCTTAGGGTAAATTCCCAGAAATGGAATTCCTGGGTCAAGTGGTACTTCTATTTTTAGTTTTTTGAGGTACCTTCATAGTGCTTTCCACAATGATTTAACTAGTTTACATTCCCACCAGCAGTGTAGGAGGGTTCCCCTTTCTTCGCATCCTTGCCAGCATTTATTGTTCCTAGTCTTTTCTATGTTGGCCATCCTAACTGGTGTGAGGTGATATCTCATTGTAGTTTTAATTTGCATTTCCCTGATAATTAGCTATGTAGAGCATCTTTTCATGTACTTGTTGGCCATCTGAATTTCTTCTTTGGAGAAGTGTCTGTTCATATCCTCCGCCCATTTTTTAATAGGGTTATTTGCTTTTTTGCTGTTGAGGCATGTGAGTTCTTTTTATATTGTGGATGTTAACCCCTTGTCAGATTGTCATTTGCAAATGTGTTCTCCCACACTTGTAGGATGCCTTTTTGTTCTGCTGATTGTCCTTTGCTGTACAGAAGCTACATCATTGATTTTTAATTACCAACTTTTCAGAGAGATGAGCAATATGGTCAAATTTGTATTTTAAAAATAACACTACCTACCTGTGGATGATAAACTGGGGGAAGGCAGGAATAGATGTGGAGCAATCTTAAACAGTTTTCCAGTTGAGCCTCTACTGTGGCATAGAACCAAGCTTGGATTTTAAATAAATGGCCATTTATTGAGTGGTAGATGTGTTCATTTTCATCTTCTAATCCAATAATCTCAGTACTTTAATCCTTCTGCTCTGTCCTACATTAGTAAATCTAAATTTTGGGGGATTTAATCAGTATTATTTTATACTTGGTAAAATAAATATTCTTATGTCTTCAGATGTGTATGTTCTAAGTACACAATGGCTTTTTTTTTTCTTTTTAAATCAAGGCATTATATATATATATCCATGCTTAAAAATCACATAAGTATCTAATGGCTTATAATAAAATGCAGCTGCTTGCCTTCACTCTTTTGTCATTTCTGTTTTTAGCTTTTCACTTATATTTCTAAGTAATACCTTTCATCCTTGGTAAAACAACTGTAGATGTTATCTTTGACTTCTTACTAGGATAAATGAAGATGTGGCTAACGTGTACTACTCCATAAATCCTTTCTCTCCTTTCTGATTTTTGGTAGTTACATCGTCATTTTTAATTCCTTTGTTGCCTTTACAGTTTGTATAACATACTAAAATATCCTTTTTTTGTGGACTCTTCACTTTGTAAAGTATGACCATTAGTTCACTTTTCCCATTGTTTGCCCACTTCTAGCTCTTACTTTGTGACATCTGTAACTTGCACTTTGACACTGTCAAGGCAAATAACATTTTCATGTCATAATTAGATCTTGAATGCTTTATCTATAGATAGAGTGTATAAGTTGATAAACAGTACTGTGAACAGTCTTCCTCTACCCTTTCTGTCCTTTAATTCCTCCACAGATGCCCTCCCTTCAGGCAGCTGATACACAGGTCTCTTATGTATATCTTCCGGATATTCTATGCAAAGATGTTTACATATGTATATGTATTGTTTTCTAAACTTTTCTTGATGAAATGTACACAGAGAACAAATGTAACCTCACTAAACAATGAAGTGAACATTATTATACCACCAACTATGTCAAAAGATAGAATATAGGCTATTCATCATGTGTCTTTCCACCCTTTCTGGACATAGCTGTATCCTGAGTTTTTGGTAATTATTTCCTTGATTTTTTTAATAGTTTCACCACATAAGCATGCATCCCCAAATGCTAGGATTTAGGTTGTTTTTTTTCTTTTTTTAACTTCCAAAAATGGAGCCAAATCTTTTGTATTCATTGGTCAGCATATGTTCCACAGCTGTTTTCCTTAGGTTAATGTATTAATGCTATTCGTCTGTGTGGTTGCACATATCTCTAGTTCATTTTCTTTGCTGTATGACATGCCATTGTGTAATAATCCCACAGCTGAACTATTTTTAGGTGGATATTTAGATAACTTTTTTTGCCATTGCAAAGTTTTTTTGCTGTAATTAATTTGCTGTGAACGTCCATGTACAAGTTTCTCTAGCATGTATTTTGTGTGTGTGTGTATACATAAAATTGCTGGGACATAGGATATGTATATCTCCATCTTTTATAGGTATTGCCAAACTTCCTGTGTACCAGATTCATATTTTTATGAACACTGTACAATTCCCATTGCTCCTCATTCTCACCAACACTTAAGAATTATCAGAGTTTGATTTTTGCCAATCTGGTAGGAATGTAAGTGATAATTGTAGTGTGCTTTTAATTTACATTGCTCTGATTACTGGTGACATCTTTTCATATGCATGCCCATTTTTGGGGGGATGTCCTATTTTTCTTTAGATATTTTGTCCTTTTTCTTACTGACTTATGATAGTACATAAATAAATTCTGGATATAAATCTTTTTTAGGATATGAGAAGTAAATATCTTTTCCTGGTATATGACTTGACTTAACTCTTAGTATCTTTTGGTAAATGTGAATTCTTAAGTAAAGATAGTCCATATATTAAGTTTTTCCTTTACAACTAGTACTGTTTGTGTCCAGTTTAAGATGTTTTCCCTACCCCAAGGTTATGAAGATATTCTCCTATATGCTAAAATCTTTATAGCTTTATAGCTTTTTGCACTCCTAAAATCCCATTTTGTTGAGGATGAAGGTAAAGTTACTAACATTAGGCTCTGATAAATTAAGAACGCATGTAGCAATTGGTATAGTAACAAAAGAGTAGACTATATAACTTTCAAACTGATAGAGGCAAAAATGGAATAATCAATTACACTCAAAAACAGCAGAAAGTGGAAAGAAATGAGAGCAGTTTCTCAGCTCTGTCTTTTGGATTGACAGATGCCTCGGGGCAGGAGCAGCTCTGGAGGTTGGGTTCACTTTCTCTTCTCTAGATTTTGGATTTGCCTTTTATTGATGCCTCTTCAATGCTTACAGGATTTTCTTTTAAAAAATATTTCAATCAGTTTTATCAGTTCGTTACAGCAGGAATTTGCCATTATCAAAAGTAGAGGCTTTATTTTAAAAATTAGAGTTACTTTTGTTTTGTTTTTTCTTATATGTTTTTCCCCCCGAATTATCTGTTTTATTCTAGGTGTTTTTTTTTTTTTAAGTTAGTTTTTACCCTCCTTGATGCTGTAGGCTTTCTTCAAATGCCTGGTAACTTCAATGCTGTGTGAGAATAAGGACGTAGAAGACTGTGTGGAAGCTGTGTGTGTCTATGTAGAGAAGGTGGTTTTTGCCCCGCAGTCTTGCTTTAGGGTAGGCAGAGGTGGGACCAGATATTTGCTGGGGCCCCCCAAAGGCCAGATGCAGAAAGCTTTACTGCATTCAGCTGGTATTTTCAGAAGCTACTTTAGTTTTCCAGATAATTTAGTTTACTAGAAGAGAACCCTCTGATTTTTTTTTTCTTTTTCAATTTAGGTTTAAATGCTTGTCTTCTGGTAATGCTGCATGCAGGGAGGATTCTTGGGAGATGGAGCCAACCATTTCTTAGATAGATCCTGGAGTCATTAACTCTTTTTAGCCTTGCGTCTCTTTCTGTCATTCCTGGTATCCGAGTCTGGAGCCTCTCCATGGTTCTGTTAGGCAGATGGGCCCCATCTCTGCTGTAGCCCCCTTTATGTTCATTCTAGGTTCATTTTTCCCTCTATTTATAAACATACTTTGATCAGATTTCTTTTATTTAGCTTTTTGTTAAATCTTGTAACTGCTAATGTGCCCCGCCCCAAATTCTTTTTGTAGGTTTATACCTTTCTTAAACCCTTTTTACATTGGAATGGAATCTTGTATGGGAGACATGCAAACTTGTGGTCTCAGTCTCCCATCTTGAACTGGAACTTTCTCAAAAGACTATAAACCCTCAGCTTAGAAAACTAACCTTTTTTATTTCATATGATGGTCTCCACAAATGCTCAGTAATGAATACAACAACTTCTTAGTCTCTTTTTCACTTTTAATTCTAACTGTCCAGACCGGTATGCTTAATTCCCAAATGCTCACCCTCTGTAATGACATGTTTTGCCCTGAAGATCTTTTTGATGAATATTCCTCAAAACCAGTATTTGGTCTTAGACTACCAATTGGTCTTAACTACAAATACCAAAGCAACTTCCACTTAATGTTGTTCAGCTTGTTATACTCATCCAGTTCTTGAGTAGCCTTGCTTTACACATTGCTCTTTGTGTTTATAGGTACTTTGGATTGATTGCTAAGCTGGGCAGTTCTGTGAGCCCTCACCTGCGTCCTTCAGCTAGCCCCTCTCCTGCAGGACTCAGTTTTGAAGAATGGTCTTTGGAATATTGCACTTACACACTTTGCTGTTCTACCTTTACCTAAGCTGGAATAAGCAGAGATCCATCTGTTAGCTTTTCTCTCTGAGGCCTTACACTATTTTAGTCTTCCATTTCAGGCCTGTGTGCAGCTGCCGCTTCAGGCAGAGATAAAGGAATTGATTTGTATAGTTTGCTTAATGAACAATGAACAGAATAAAGGTCTCTGATCACTTTGAAACTAGTATGTTTTATAACCTTGCTCTTGTTCTTATCCTTGTGGCTGGAGAGCCACCTGCCCAGTTACAGACCTTCAGTCTTCTCTGCCAGCCACTGTAAGCCTCAGTCTTTTCATTTGTTTACTCTTTGTTTTTCCAGCATGTCACCAGAATGTGATTCCAGAATTGATGGGATGGTCACTTAAGGTCTTCAGAAGTTCAAATAAATGTGATCGTTGATTTAAAACCTGTTAAAATTCTTTAACAGCTATATTGAGGTATATTCATTTGCCATATAGTTCACCCATTTAAAGTGTACATTTCAACAGTTTCTGGTATATTTACAGATATATGCATCTGTGACCACAGTTTGTTTTAGAAGATCTTTACATTAATGGAATCATACAATATGTGGTATATTTTGTCTGGCTTCTTTAACTTAGGTAATCTTTTCAAGGTTTATATTATAGCATATATCAATAGCCATTCCTTTATTTTTTTAAGTTTGATAAAATATATATAAAATTTACTGTTCTAACCATTTTTTTTGGTATCATTAATCTATAATTACATGAGGAACATTATGTTTATTAGGTTCCCCCTTCACCAAGTCCCCCCCACAACCCCCATTTCAGTCAGTGTCCATCAGCGTAGTATGCTGTACAGTCACAACTTGTCTTCTCTGTGTTGCACATGCCTGCCCCCCCACAGTATACATGCTAATCGTAATACCCCCTTTCTTTTTCCCCCTCCTTATCCTTCCCTTCGCACCCATCCTTCCCAGTACCTTTCCCTTTGGTAACTGTTGGTCCGTTCCTGGGTTCTGTGATTCTACTGCTGTTTTGTTCCTTCAGTTCTTCTTTGTTCTTATACTCCACATATGAGTGAAATCATTTGGTACTTGTCTTTCTCTGCCTGTTCTAACCATTTTTAAGAGTATGGTTTTGTGGCATTAAGTGTATTCACATTGTCATACAGCCAGCACCATCATCTAGCTCCAGAATATTTTCATCTTCTCAAACTGCAACTGAACCCCATTGAGCTCCCTTTTCTTTCCTTTCCAGGGCTCTGGCTAAATTTTGTTTTTTTGAGGGAAGGTGTGGGTGACATAGCAGGAAGGAAGCAGAATACTTAGAAAGTAGTAGTTAAGGAAAGCCATCAGGAAGCCTTGGACAGTTGGTCTTAAGTATTTTGGAACATGAATTGAAAATATAGTCTTCAGATCTTCCGAGAAAAATGCACATATACTCAGTTCTGTAATTTTATAAAGGTTTTTAGGTAACTTTTTAAAAAACTTTTTTTAGAAAGTCTTATACATTTTCTTTTAGAATAGTATTGATTTACTATTGAAGAATTGCAAAGATAGTACAGAGTTCTTGTATATGCCTCATGTTAACACTGTTAACATCTTACAGTGCCAGGTATATTTGTCAAAACTAAGAAACTGACATTTATATGTTACTGTTAACTCCAGACTATTTGGATTTCTCCAGTTTTCCCATCAAGAGCACTTTTCTATTCCAAAATTCAGTCCAGGGCACTACATTACATTTACTTGTGTCTTCTAAGTCTCCCCTGGTCTGTGATAATTTCTCAGTGTTCCCTCATTTTTCATGACCTTGACAGCCTTCAGTAGTATTTGTAAGGCATCCTATAGAATGTCCGCCAACATGAGCTTGTGTGTTTTTCTCTTGTAGCCCCATAACTTTACATATAATTTCAGGAGTTATATAGGCCTTTGAAGCCTTTCATGGGCCTCCTACTATTATTAAAAATGGGAATTTGCTCGTGTTTTTAAGGTAAACTCAAAGTAGAGGTTTCAACCCATTAATGGGACATGAAATCAATGTAGTGTGTTGCCACTTGCATTTTTAAATACATTAAAAACCTCAAGAGTGTTGAGTAAAGGTAAGCATTTAAAATTTTGTTTCATCTGTGTATGTAGTAGGTCTTTATGTAAAGTGTATGTAGTGGACAGAATTTTGGCCCCCATGATCTTGGCATCATGCCTGTGAATATGTTATGTTACATGGTAAAATGGATTTTGTAGATGTTATTAGGATTAGTAGTCAGTTGACTCTAAAGTAGATTATTTGGGACATATGGGGTGGGTCAAAAGTAATCCCATGAACCCTTAAAAGCAGAGCTCTCTCCTGGCTGAGGGTAGAATGGGAAGTTATGGAGATGGTGGCAGAAGAGGACGTCAGAAAGATTTGAAGCACAAAAAGGACTTAACTCATCATTTGCTGTCTAATGCTGGAGAGGACCATGAACTGAGAAACATGGGCAGCCTTTACAAGCAGAGAACAACCTCTGGCTGACAGCTAACAAGGTGATGACCACAGTCCCAAACTGCATTGAACTGAATTCTGCCAGTACAGTCTCGGAAAGGGATTTTCCCCTAGAGCCTCCAGATGGAGCCCAGGCCAGTTGACATCTTCGCTTTGGCCTTGTGAGACCCTGACCAGAGCATCTCGCTGCACTGCCAGACTTCTGGCCTGCAGAACTAAGATGATGATATGAGTGGTGTTTTAAGCTGCCAGGTTTGTGGTAATATATCATTCCTGAGGGTCAAGGCGCAAACACTGGGAAATAGGCTGTAGTGGGAGGATCCTGGGTGGGGCTCCGGAGGCATCAGGTCTCCCTTGCCGCTCCCACAATCTTAGGTGATGCTGTGTCAGTCACTTACCCTTCCTGTGAAGGAACCTGAGGGGGTTATTCTAAAGTTTCTCCATGTGATACATTTTTCTTTTATGAATTGTTTATTTGGCAGCATTTACTCCTTTTAGTGTACAGTTCTATGAGTTTTCATAAATTCATATAATCACCACCTTGATGATGGTACAGAATACTGGCATCATCACAATGGCAAATTCCCTCTACTGTTGCCTTTTAAAAGTTCTCTCCCACTCCATCCCACAGCCTCTGGCCGACACTGGTCTGTTTATTTCCCACATAGTGTTTTGTCTTTATACATGGAACTATACAGTAGTTAGACTTTTGGGTCTGGCTTCCCTAACTTAGCATAATGCATTTGAGATTCATATGTGTTGTGTGTATCAGTAGTTTGTTCCTTTTTTTTTGCTGACTAGTGTTCCTTATATGAAAACTATGTACTATACTTTGTTTATCCATCCCCAGTTGAGGTTGGGTTTCCAGTTTTTTGTGATTATGAGTAAAGCTCTATAAACATTTGCATACCGATTTTTGTACGTAAGTTTTCATTTTCCTTGGGTAAATACAAGCATGAGAATGCTGAGTCTTACTGTAAATACATATATTTTAAAGAAACTACCCAAATGTTTTCCAAAATGGCCATACTATTTTGCATTTATACCAGCACTGTTTGAATATTTCACTTGTTCTGCATCCTTGCTAGCATAAAAAAATTTAAAACACAGTTTTTAACTTTTCTAATAGGTGTATAGTGGTATAGATATAATTTGCATTTCCCTAATGACTAGTATGTTAAGCATCTTTTTCATGTACTTATCTGTCACTGTATTACTTCTTTGCTAACATGTCCTCATCTTTTTCCTATTTTTAAAAAATTAAAGTATAGTTGACATACAGTATTACCATTTTCTTATTGGGTTGGTTTTTTAAAGTTGAGTTTTGAGAGTTCTTTATGTATTATGGCTACAAGTCCTTTATTAGATATGTTAGGCAAATATTTTCTCCCAGTCTTACATGACATGATCTCTTATTTGTAGGCACTCTCATTATTCATTATTCCTACTTCACAGAGGAGGAAATAGGCTCAGAGATGTAAGAGCCAGCTAAGTACTGAACTGTGACTTCATGATTTCAGTGGCCAAATGCTCTAGGAATGACCTGTGTCCAGCCACAGGATCTTTCCTTCTAGCTTGTCTACACAGGGGTCACTGTGCCCAGGTAGGTGGGGAAAGTTGCCTTTTTTATCTTTGAGCTCTTTATCTCACATCTGGGACGTTGAAGAAGGCACTATGGTGAGGTAGAATGAGCATAGAATCTGGGGCAACAGATGTGAGTTAACTCACTCTGCCCTTCCCTAGCTGTTTAGCACTGGGGAGGACATTCAGCCTTCCTAAGCCACCATTTATCTAAAATGAGGAAGGGAACATAGTAACAGAGGATGTGCTTGGAGCATCCATTGTGTAGTAAGCACTTTACATGCAGATCTCATTTACATTTCCTGGCAACCTTATGCCATAAATAGTTTTGTTACCTTCGTTTTACAGATGAGAAAACCGGTTTAAACCCAGGGTCACACATGCGATTGGGATTAGAGCTGGGGTTTGAATTCAGGCAATGTGAGTCCCAGGGTCTGTATTCTTGGCTACTTAGCTACACTGATGATCTCTAAGATCCCTAAAAGCTCTCAAAATGAGCAACATTACAAGACCTGGGTGGGGGCTGCCTGTGTAGGGCTGCTGCTGTGAGGATTTACTGCAAGGCCATGTCAAATGACTTCAAGCCTTTGTTGGCTGCAGCAAATGAAGTAGCCAGCAGCCAGCTGGCCATCTTACCCTATGATTTCTCTCTCTCTGACTTTCTCCAGTTAGCAAATTACCTGAGGCCTGCAGTGTCATCTCCTCCAGGCAGATGGCCCCAAAACAAAACCTAGCCGTGCCCCCAGATCTCTTGTTTCTCCAGGGCAAATTACAAGTATACAGAACTAGTTACTGGCCAATAATTAACCAAGATAATGACAAATTCTCTTTGAGGAGTATTGTGTGTGTGTGTGTGTATGTGTTTTCCTAGGATGTGATGCGCATTTATCACGTGTATTAAGGTCAACATTTAAAATGTCACTTCAATAAAATGAAACAATCACCTATTCTGTGACCCAGTACCTTCTTAGGCTCAAGGGACGTGAAAACATGTCCACAAAAATAATTAAACATGGGTGTTTGTTATAGTTTTATTTATAATAAATAGCCTAGGTGCCCATTGACATGTGAATGGATAAACATCCTGGTATATTCACAAGATAAAATACTACTTAGCAAAAAAAAAAAAAATACTACTTAGCCATAAAAAGGAATGAACTATTGATATATTCACTAACCACATGGATGAACCTCAAAATACTATGCTTAGTGAAAGCTTTACAGGGAAGAGTAATACTATGTTCTCCCATTTATATGCAGCTCTAGAACAGGCAAAATTAGCTTGTGGGAATTTGCTGGGAAGAGGCGTGAGGGAAATTTCTGTGTTTTCTATCTTGATAGGGGTGTGGGTTACAGGGACGTTAGTGTTTGTCAAAACTCAGCAA